GAAAAAAGATGTTGAACTCAAGGCTTTGTCTACAAAGGTTAATGAACAATATCAAACACTAAAGCTAGTTTTGGCTCATCTGAATGCAAAAGGAGCTGACTTTCCAAATCTGTCTCATACAGTTGTAAGTAATCTTATTAAAAACATCTATTGTCAATGTTACTTGTAAATTGCATTTCTTTTAGACATTTTCCTCGTTTCTTTATATTTGCTAGGGTATTTCAAGTGAGAAGATTGTTGAAAGTAGTGAAACGACTCCTGTTAGTCTCAAAACCAATGAACCATCAGAACTTGTAACACCAGTATGTTATCATCTTATAAGATCATCGTTGATATAATTTTTTTTGTACTAATTTCTGTTTTTTCACCTGGAACTTTAACTTATTTAGGTTATTGCAAAACCCACCAAGAAACCAGTTCAAACCAAATCTGCAACTACAACTCCCGATACAAAATTGATTTCCATGAAATCTGCAACAGTAGTATATACTAACTTTACAGTTTTCAATACTTTTAATTTATGTTTTATATTAAAATATAATTTTACATATATGTCTTAAATCTTTATATTAGGCAAATACAAAACCCACCAGAAAAGCTGTTGAGTCTAAGACTGCCACTATCAATCATGACATACCAACAGTTTCACCAAATAAACCTCTTCACCAGGTTAGTGTTTTTTTATATGTTGAATATACATTTCTGTCTTTTTTTCTGATTCTAATATTATTTGTCATTGTAGCCAATCAAGTGTAGTCTATCATATCCGTATAAAAGGAACATCGTTGCTTGTGGTACCGTTCACTTGTCATAAGAAAGACAATTCATTCCTGGAGTTCCTCTACAAGATGATTGCTATAAAGTTTCCATTGATGAAGTGGTAATAAAACATGCATTTCTACCCCATAAAACTGGAGAATTCACATTAGTTGAGGATGCATATAAAAGTTTTGTTCCATGGCCAAAATACCTTGTGCAAACCGAGTCTAAGGTTTGTCTAATTATGTTCACTACTTTGTGCATTACATTTTATTTTCTTCATAAAGTAGTATACTAAGTTTATGATGAACTCATTTTTTTGGTTTCAATGTTGATGTTATAGGTACCAGAAATTATATCACATCAAAACTCAACGAAAAGGAAACCAACTTACATATCATCTGATGTCCTTCTTAAGAAGACAATGAGCAATACAAACAAGATGAATGCCTAGTTATGTTTAGGTTTTGGTTTATGATGTGTTTGATTTTTTTACCATTATTTAAATTCTTGAAATTAGGACAATTTACTTTTCTTTGATATTTTAATTACGAATGTAATGTATGGATTTAGATTTCAATTGTTACTAATATCAAATTATGAATTTTTCTTTTTTTTCATATTGTTGGGTTTTATTACTTTAACTTAAATTATTTTGATGTGTCCACAATGTAGAAAAAGTAACAATAAATAGTAAATTAAAGTGGCTGTAATATAAATTTTTCCATGTTTGATAGGTTTTCAATGTCTCTAAAAATATACAATGGTTACTTTACATCATTTTTTAACGTGTGGCTAAATGGTTAACAATAGCCATAATATACAAGAATTATGAGACTACAATTGATTTAAAATGATGTTTATTCTAAAGTTTTTGTGACTAACTTAAACAATAACAACATGAAAAACAATTTATGTGGCAAATAAATACCATAATTGATTGTTGTTGAGACTAAATACTAGCAAATCATTAATTATATTTGTCCATTTACCGAATATGGACATGTTCACCGTAATTATATGTATCTAAAATATACCCAATAGTCTTAACACGATACCGAATAGTCCTTAGTTTTAACAAAATGTGTGTCTTTATAATACTTATGATTGTATTTCACTTAATTGTGTGTCTTTATAATACTTATGATTGTATTTCACTTAATTGTGTGTCTCTATACGATAGGTTATAGTCACTAAAATTGATTGTTTTTTTTTACTAATAATTAGCAATTCGCCACTTATGGAAGTAATTACATGTGGCCATTTAGCAAACATGGTCACACTCACCGTAATTACATGTTTACAAAAGATACACAATAGTCTTAATAAAATTTAAACTGTGTGACAATATAAAAGAAAACAACTACACTAAAACATCATGATTGTCGCAAGTTGGTGATATACAGTCACCACGTTTACTAAATAAATGTGACTACTGACGATTTAACGCTACAATATTGGATATTTAATGAACAAAATTTCGTACACATTTGTCACACTTTTATAATACGGCCACATGTTTTCATATCATACGGACACTACATTTTAAAGTGACCATAAGACTCATACGATGGCGTCACCTTCCGTTACACTTTCAGTGAAAAAATAAAATCTCACTATACGCATATGGTCACACTTTTTTGGTGTGACTGTAAGTCATTTTTCTTGTAGTGCGCAACCAAACAACATTTAAATCCAGATCTGAAAAATTCAGACCCTTTTAGAAATTCAGACCTCTTAAAAATTCAGACCTCTTAAAAATTCAGATAAACAAGATTAAATAAACCGCACACGGGAATCCCCTTTAGTTACGAACAATAAAAACAACATTGTTGGTCATGGGGATCCTTCATTCCTTTTCTTTCAATAAAAAATAGAAAGGGTAGTATAAATATTTCACACATAATTTATCCACAGTGACTACTCTCATAAGAAAATAGAATAGTAGTTAAAAAAAGTTGGATTTGGAACGAAATAATCATATAAACATATGGATCATTTTATGTAATTTACTCTATTTGATAATACACAATGATGAATTTTAACGACATAAAATCTTGTAGTCAAACTGGATTTGCGCAACGAATCATGTGATGCTACTCTTTGTTACGTTCACATCATCACAAAATCGTTGCAACAACTAAAACAATTTCGTTTATAATGTTTTCATTTCAAATTACGTTTTCATCTATCTTTTCTTTTCATAACGATAAACTGTATAATTTGGTGTTCAATTTCATTCCAAACACAATTCTACAAGAGAAAATAAACATACACCAGTCTCGAAGTCGTTGAATAATAAACCCCAATATTTCCTTCTTGTTACTTCATATACAATCCACCTCTTAATTTCCCTCGTTTCCCTATGCCAATGGAGACCATGACAAGGGAACCGGATCTTTTCAGGAGTCAATGGTGGAACAGTTTCTTCAAAATTGCACAAGTTGGTCTACGAATTTTAGTAACCGGATTTGCAACAACTTCTATTGCCACGATGTTGACTAGCAATCAAGAAATCTACATGCCTTACGATGAGACATATATAGCAGTTGCGAAAGCCCATTACAGTTACTCATCTGGATTATGGTGATGACATTATGATTTGATATGATAAATTTTAAGATAAATATTCATCCAACATGCTTTTTTGATGTTTTTGTTTTCATTTGCTAAATTATAACGTGACGTAATGTAGGTACAAATTGTTAGTAGATGCAGTGTTAGGTGTTTTCTCTCTACTCTCATCGATTCTAGCTTACAAGATGACGAAATTCTCTCATACGGAACCTAAAACAACTCTTCACTTTTTCCTGCTTCTCGTTGATGTGGTGAGTTTGCGATTACAAAATGTCTAGAAATGATAGTTTATTTATAACTTGTTAGTTTGGTTTGATAGAAATACAAAAGCAGAAAAGGACATTAAATCAAGAAACCCTAATTATACTATGTGAATTGTGATACAATACAATAAGTGCAGGTGATGACGGTGTTGACTATCTCAGGATGCGCGGCAGCATCAGCCGTGGGGATGGTGGGGCTACGAGGGGTTGAAAAGCCAGGGATTAGCTGGACTCCAATATGTCCACTCGCTGGAAAGTTCTGTGGCATGATCACCCTCTCCATTGCATCATCTTATGCTTCTTTCACTTGCATGATGGCACTCACTTTCCTCTCAGCATGCAAGCTCATGCTACTAGCAACACACTAAAGGGATCGATCGTATATATAAATGTATATTGATTTGACGTTTATTTGTTATTAAATTACGTTTTAGCTGAAGAAATTGAAAGTCTTCAAGCTTTAACGAATTAATCATAAATGCTATATTTGTTTATTTATATCAATTGGAATTTTTTATGTTATATCTCATCAATAATATTATAACATTTTGTATTCCAAAAAGAATAATAGCATTATTCAAGGAATATTGGTATAAAGTAATAAAATTTAGCAATGGATTATTGTCACTAATACTTGAAAGAACCTGTTATGGAAATTTAGCAATGGATTAATTTGCACTTGGACCGTCCCTTGTTAGGTCTTTCATCCTATAAAAAGATTACACCACCCTTATATATATCTTTTTTAATTTATCTTCATTTGTTTAATGTTTATTAAATAGAATTTAAAAGAAAAGTGGGTCCCACCCCACCTGGTATCATTTTGTTGTCCATGATACATCTTTGTTCTCCACTCTTCATTAACAAAATAAGAACCCAAAACAACCTCCACAATAGCTATCAAAATGCTCCACTGAACACCACTTCCGAAGCCCGACCTCAGTCTAAACAACATATCCCTTCATCTTCTTTGGTATGTTTATCAGATCAAGAAAACACGGCCTAATCTGGAACTACAACTTTCTCACTCAGGCTGCAACTCTCTCACCGAAACTGAAATCATCTCACCGAACGCGACTCCCTCAGACGATTCAAGAGGCGACTGTAATTGAATTGATTTATGTAAATCGCGTGCTATTAAAAAATCTTTCTGCCACCATCCGTCGTCCCCCTCTTTACAATTGTATGCTAAATGCTTCCAATGGTTTTTGCAAATCGCATATGCTAGCAAGAAATCCAAGAAGTTGGGATGGATCTAGGGTTCTGTTCATGTAGATTGCATTTGGGCCCTAATTTAAATTGATTTTTAGAGTTTGTAACGTTTTTTGTTTTGGAAATTGTTTGGAAAATGACTTCCAGTTTCAGAAATGAATTGACCAAAAAGATTTGATTTGAGCAATTGTTTTTTATTAACAGTTTGTTTGGGGTTTTTTTTCCATGGTCAGATCTTAGATTTCATCAGGTTTTTTGATGTATTTTCGGAGTGGGGATGGGATTATGTGGTGGTGGTTGCTACTAGTGACTACCAGAGACGATGGTGGTTGATGGTGGCAAATCCAAAGATGTGGTCTTCGATGTTGAGAGGAAGAGAGGCGGAGGAAAGTGGTTTTCCGACGGTCAAGAAGGAGAGACAAATGGTGGGTAGTGGTAGAATGGGTCCATTTTATTTTATTTTATCATTAATCAACATAAAACCAATAATAAAAATAATTGAAAAATAAATCAGAAAGGACAAAAGTGTCTTTTTATGATGGTCAGGGACGAACAACGCAATAAAATAAAACTATATGGACGGTCTGACTGCCAAAAAAAAGAAGTTAGGGACCAAATGCTTAATTTTTACAAACCTGTAACATCTCGATATTGAGGTATTTTCATTTTAAACCCCAAGTATGAGACATTATTTCATTTTAGACCTTGGATGTGAATTCATTTCTAAATTGGACCCAAATGGCATTTTCATAATTTTTGGGAGTTGGGCACGAACGTTGGGCGTTCCCTAGGAATGTTGGGCTTAAGTGGCTAGAGTACAAACCCTAATTTTTAGGGTTTAGACGCTATCTAAGCATCCTTCAGTCCTAAACCTACCTTCCTTCATCAGCCTCCAATGCACCTTCGTCCCCAAGCAAACCCTAATCCATTTTTAGAGAATTCTTGAGCATTTGTGTCTGTTTTGGTAACCTTAAAGTAGAGAGAGGAAGAAGAGAAGATCATCTTGGAGGAGTGGGGCTCTTTAGATCCAGAATGACAACACCATTTGACATCATTTGGAGGTAAAAAGCTCTGGACTTGATTAAGAGTTGTTTAGATCTTGTGTAGTTATTAAATGGTGTTCTCTTGGTTCTATAAGTTTGGTATTATGAGTATGGATTACTCTAATCCATATAACCTGTCCTTTCAGACGTTTTGGAGCAGCAAGAAGCATAAAAATCTAATCTTGGTTGTTAGATTCCTTCCATGCATGAGTTACAATGTCTTAATGGGTTAAGTAGTTAGGGTTTTTGTGTTTGGGCCCTTAATGGCCATGCAAGACCATAGAGTTGGAAACTTTATGGTTAAGGATGTTATATTAGGGTTGGATCTGGATTATGGACAAAAGAGCTTAAGGATTAAGCTCTTAATAAGAAAGGAATGAAGAACTCGTGAACAATGGGCGTAGCCTAGGAACGCTTAGAATTTTAGGTCAACCAGCTCCTTTTTTGGTCAAGCTATGTACGCTAAGCGTACAAGCTAAGTATGTTGGGCGTACTCAACACTGTTGACCAAGTTTGACTGTAACGTCTCATTTCCACAACCAACTTTTTTCATTTTTATTAAGGTAAGACTTCCCAATTTATTAATCCATTATTTAAGAATACCATTTATTCCAAATTACATTTATTAAAAATCAGAGTATCGTAGAAAACGTGGAATCTTCAATGTTGCAGATGAGTATGTACAGTCCCGACTTCGCCTTCCCGCAATCTCTGAAGATACCTGAATCTTCAATGTTGGGGTGATTTGCGCCTCTATTTATAGGCTGAGTCATGTTCGAACGCAGGGCGTTCCCTTGCTGAACGTTGGACGTTCATGGCCAGGTGTCATCATCTGGTGTCAAGCCGTGGTAAGGAAGCAGTGGCTCAGATCGCGCCACGTGTCGCTCGCTGGTTACTCCAAAAATGAATTATCTTCTAAAATACATAACTATTGCATACAAGCTCCGTTTTTGACGTTCTTTACATCCACGCGTAGGTATCGACAGGATCTACAACTTTCATTTAGACTCCGTCGGCTAATTTTAGATTTATTTTTAAAGTTATATTTTAATAAACTTAGACAGTTAAAATCTGTTAAAAATTCATAACTTTTTCATCTGACGTCCGTTTTCGACTGTCTTTATATCGTTGAGCTCCTGTTAATGAGATATTCAATTCTCGTTTAGATTATGTTGGCTAAAAATCGATCGATCTAAATTTCAAATTCCGGGATGTGTACTGTTATGCTAAATCTTAGAAAATCATAACTTCCTCATACGAAGTCAGATTTGGACGTTCTTGTTATGCACGCTCTGGGTTTAACGTATACTACGACTTTCGTTTAGATCGCTAAGGCTAAAAGTATTTTATCGCAAACTTACTTTTTACGATTCCCAGTGTCATGCCGGTTTTGCCGTAAAGCTTCTTTCTTTAACAACGATCGTGATACTTCTATTGATCGCTTCGATTATCTTTCACTTCAATCTTCTGGCTTAAGTCATATACTACGTTAAACTTGGTTTTATGAACCACATAACATACTCGTCTTGGTCGGACTCGATTTGATATGACCACTAGGGTCGGAATAACAATCATCTTCGTAGTCGTTACCGAAACGATGGTAACGACAGACATGAATCAAACAGAATCAATTACTAGCGCCTTGGTAACCTTATGACTTTCCCCGATCCAAGTGCGAGTCCTGTGCTTCCGGTAGTATAGGCCTCTACTACCTTTCACACCTACTCATACTCGTCCCAATTATTGTCTCGTGGTTCTCCAAGTCACCATACAAGTATTTCACATAGTCATTTAACACACCGGATAACATAACCAAGCTTTATATTATTTCTTGATACGATTACATAGGTGTTCAAGTTCAACCTATACTATGCCTCTAATAGGCTACACCACATGATATTATCTGCATGGTTACTTCATATGTTGATCTTCAGATATAAAGTCATCACTCCTAATTCCTTGCATTGTCACCTGCTTTGCCGAGGATCATCTGGAATGCTCTTGCCTTTGTCTTTGGCAGTGTATTTGGCCTTTCTGCTTCATTTTTCTTCGGACAGTCCCTAGAAATATGCCCTTCTTCGTTACATCCGAAACACACCTTCTTGTTGAATGTGCACTCATTGGCGTAATGCCCAGACTTTCCACACTTGAAACATGTCACCTCCTCGCCACATTTTCCAAAGTGTTTCTTCTTGCACTTATCGCACCATCTTGCTTCACCTCTTCCTTCTCCTCCAAACTTCGAGAATTTTCTCTTCTTGTTGGACCTTGAAGATCCTTCAAACTTCCTCTTCTCGCCAACTTCAGCTATCTCCAGACCCAATTCCCTTATCTGGGTGTCAACATTCCTGGCTGCCTATACGGCGACTTTCAAAGTGGTTGCTTGCTTGACCATCGGACCAAAGTCCGTTGGAAATCCATTAACAAACTTGTTGACCTTGGAGAGTTCAGTCGGAAGTAGGTAAGGAACAAGCTTCATCTTCTCCGTAAAACTTCCAGCATAGTCGGTGACGCTCATTCTTCCCTTCTTTAGGTTCTGAAATTCGTTGTTGATCTCCAGCAGATCCTGCTCGGAGTAGTACTGCATTTTCAGTTGCACCAAAAAGTCTTCCCAAGACATCTTGCTAGCTTTTCCCTTGGGCATGGTATCAGCTAGTAGCTTCCACTATCTTAGTACTCCTGACTTTAACAGTCTAACCTCGAGGGCGGTTTTCTGTTTGTTGCTGCAGTCACAACTTTCAAAAATCATCTCCATCTCGAAGATCCAATCCATGACTTCCACCGACGTTGGGCTTCCAGAAAGACTCGGTGGTTTGGATGCCATGAAATCCGTGTACTTGCACCCACGTCCATCATTTCCTCCATTGGGGTGGTTTCTTCTACCCACTCGTGGTTCAGCTTGACTAACATTTTGACTATAGTTTCCTTCATCTGATAGTTCAGGTTGTACGATGGGTACAGTTGGTTCATCCCTATCATGCAACATCTGTCTCATCTCCTCTATTTGTTTGGCCATCATAGCCCTACTCATTTCTTGGACTCCTGCCATTGTGATTGGCTCAGGTGCAGCTGCTACCTCTGGTGAACGCTCAATCACAAGCCACTGATTAGCATTAGCATTTCCATTAGCGTTTCCAAATCCGCTTCGAGTTCCCACCATGCCAATTTATTCACT